CACCTTCTGTTAATAGGAGGCATTGTCAGAACTGGGCACACAAAGTTTGATATCTGCCCAAATCAGCAGGATTTTTGAGCACAGATCTAATATGCAAACTCCTGGGCTTGAATTTAGACCATGCTCATGTATAACACTCACCCACAAGAGGCAAGGCAGCAGTCTTAGTAAACCCCTCCAGGTATTAAAGATTCAGGGGTAGAAACAGTCTCCCGTTGATGGCCTTCTGGGAACCCCCAAAGTGATGCAAGAAACAAATACCCCTTGCCTGTCAGGAGGTAGATAACTCCCAGTTCTATAAAGCCTCACCCCTTTGAAGAGCTTGGATAAGTCACTGGAGTAAGGACAGGAATAGCATTATCCTCTTACTAACTTTGATGGGTTTATTTTTAAGCCAGTTAGCTTTAATCATATTGATTTCTCAACTCTGTTATAAAAATCTTTTACCCAGGGATCTGACTTTAGGAAGACTTTAGAATTCTCTTTTCATTTTTTTTCCCTCTTTGCAGGTCCCCTCTGACACTTTAAGTCAACAGCCCTGAAGTCATTTCCTATAAAGACACATTTAGTACTTCCCCTCCCCCACACCATCTTTCTTCCTCTCCTATTTCTCAATAAATACGGAAATGATAAACCTGCAAATCTGAGAGCTGCTAACACTGTTCAGGAAGGCTAAATGTGAGACTCTGAGGTGTTTCTTTCTCAATGGTGCTCCTGTTCTAGTCAACAAACAGTAGAGGATATCTTACCACTACAAGAAACTGGTGGGTCTGAGCCCACAGCTTCTCAAAGGGGAACAACTAGCCCACCACCACCCCCTTACCAGCCTAGAACAACAAATTGGCTTCTTTCCAGGCTAACTGAGCCTGACTAGACTGCTGAAGAAGGGTGTCTATAACCTGCTCCCTAAAATGGAAGGGGTCATGTACTATCTACCTGTTCTAATAACTGTCCCATTGCATACAGACATCCTCAACTGGCAGCCTTGTCTCCTAAGCCCTTGCATCTAGCAACTCAAGAAAGGAAACTAGTGGTGAGATCCAGGAATCCATTCTGACATATAAACTGCTATGTACAAACTCCTGTGCACAAAGGGAAACAGTACCTCACCCAAAAGAAAAGGACTGACTCCGCCCAGAGGTCTCTGCGCACTCAGGTCAACACCAGACACAGAAGGAGGGTGTTTCCAGCAAGTGTGTGCCGCCTCTCCATTCCAGCGAGACCACCTCAGTACATTCTATCTTCACCTCAGTACATTCTATCTTAGCAGCCCCCTCTTGGCCTATATGAGAGTTCTGTCCTCACACTGGAGAATTTAAAGAGAAAATGCACACCCACAGCCCCAAGTATGTGAGAGACGCCATAACTCACTCTAGAGGAGAGACATCTGTGCTAAAAAGAAAAGCACGTGAAAGCCTTCATATCCTGCCCTGGCATTCAGCTGCTGTCTCTAAAGCCTTTCTAGACAGTTGCTACATTTTAACTCCTGTCCATGAGCAGACAAAATAAATATGCTAAGACAGAGACCATGCAGACCTAGATTTTTAGAGGTCTTCAGCCTCACTTTCTAGCTGGCACCCAGCAATCTCACAACATAGCTTCTTCCTCCCCTGGGCCTAATGAGAAAAGCTCCATGCACACACCCCTGCCTACTGCCAGGAAATGCTCAGAGGGCCTGTCGGCCCCAAACACCCTTCTGGGAAAAGGGAATGCTTTGTTTTACCCAGCCCAAAGAAACATATATGAGTAATTAGAAAGCATGTACTCAAACGAAGGCTTTGGCCAACCTTTCTAGATGGTGGGGGAGCCTGGTCCCCCAGACCTGGGGAAGAAGACAAGCAGGTAGAAGCAATATTGTTTTCCAAGATCTGGGGCATGGCGACCATTCTGGGGGCAATCAAAGTTCAGTTTTAAAAATACAGAGACACCCAGAAATGTAACCTCAGTCCAGTCTAAGGATACAGTGGGATATAAATACACACACATGCACAGCATCTGTGAGAGAAATGTCAGTCACGGTGCTTGAAGGAAGAGGCGCTCACCAGCACCCCCAACAGCTTCTACAACTCCTGGCTGTATGGCTTTGGGGGGGAGCGGTGTCCAGGAAGTCATAACACTTATCAGCCAGTGATAAAAAGTAATAATAATATCAAAAGTAATCCCTCCAAGTGAAGCAAATGTTTATGTTTATAGCTACCTGAAAAATTAGAATCACCAAATAGCAGAGCCAGAAGCAACCACAGCTTCACTGTAGCTGCAAAGGCAAATTTTAGTCATTGGAACCAGAAGCTTCCACTAAAGGTCACTTCTAGTACAGACTGAAGATGGTTTCAATCTTTTTTTTTTTTTTAAATCAGCATACCTCATTTTCAACAAGCTAAATGCATAAAACTGCCCCCCAAATCCATAACATCTTTAAAACTAGCTACTTCCATATTTTAACTTCCCACCACTTTGAAGTTGCAGTCTTTACAATCTTCATTCCCTTTCCCCAGCAACACACACACACACACACACACACACACACACACACACACACACACACACACGTCAAGCTAAATATACCCATAGAGCCACCCCACAAGCTGAGGAGATAGGAAGCTATAGCCCATGAAACCCCTTGCCTGCAGCTTCTGTTGCTCACATTCCAGAACGCTGAAGCAGCTTTGATGAGTGTCACTGCACACAGCAAATCCTTTGGAAGCACAGATGGTAAATGAGAAAGACTTCCCACAGAAAAAGGATACTTCCATTCTACTATACTAATGCAGGCTCTTCGGATGGGGTTATTGAGCGATAAACAGAAAAGGGCTCGGGCAGGCCGGCTGTTGGACGAGTTACCCTGTTTTTTGCTCTTGGCATATTGCTGACGTTTTCTTTGGGAGAGAGATCCTACAGGTGGGGGTGCGGAGGTGCTCATGGTCTGGGCGGCCTTGGCCTGTCTAGCAGCATCGATTGCAGCTTGCCAAGACAGGACAGTTTGCTTGGAGCTGTTCGGCTGAGAAGTTGGTACTTCACCAGAAATAGGAAGTCTGGTGCCTCTTGCATAGTTTGCCTCTGAGAAGAAAAGAGATTAAAAAAAAAAAAAATCAATCCATATCTTTAAAAAGCAAAGGTGTCTCCCATCAATAATAATCATTCTTGTGTTTCCATTTGAACTCTGTGTCCTATTTTTCACAAGTAGTGGGGTTCAGTCAGGCAATGTAACAAGTCCACAGAGCTCTGCTCTGAGTGTCAATCATGCAGGGTGTTACTGCACCACACCCAATCACATTAGTACTCTTCCATACCTGTGTTTGTAAAAGGAATCTTTTAGTGCATCTCTCTGACTTTGAAAACACATGTATCTTTCATGGTCTAACAGATATGCACAACTGCCTTTCTCAATTTACACACAGCCAATAATTCAATAGCCTTATTTTAGGGTGTTCCTCCAACATCTTTCCACAGACACAAATGCTTTTTTTTTCCCCCTACATGGAAAAAAGTCTTCACTGGCACCAGGCAATACCAAAAGCCCCATAACAAATATCTAGATTATGCACTAACACTTCCTGCAAATGAAAATTCATGATGCTTGGGGCTCATTTCCTCCACAAGCTTCCGAAAACAGAAAAACATCTTTAGGGCTTTTTTTGCATTTTAAATTGCAGCAGCAGCAGCGGCAGCGGCAGTGGCAACAGCGGCAGCCAAGCCAGCATCCAGTCAGCCTGCACCCCTCAGGGCCTATGCAAGAATTATCTCATTGCTTGAAGCTGTTGCAGAGTAGCACCCAGGTACACACAAGGCAAAACCCCAAAGGGGCCTCCATGTGTAATACTCCCCTCCCTGAGTGTCAGGCCACTCCTCGGAAGGTCTCACTGGTGCCCACACTGGGCCACCATGGCCTCGGCTAAAGCAGAAGTCTAAGTGAGAGCGGTGGCAGAGAGGTTGAAGGGATGGGCGCTTGCAAAACCAATTATCACTAAGTAAAAGCGTCAAAGCCATCACAGGTCCCCTGCCCCACAAGCCTGAGACACAAGCAATGCAGGCGGGCAGCACACAATCTGAGCTCAGGGTAGTCTTGCTAAGCTTTTCCTTTGAAAAGCGCTCATTGGGAAAGGCGTCAAGCATACCAGGGTTGGGAGATGCCAACGACCTCCAAAGAGGGAGGCTGACCAAAAAGCCACCCCAACCTCCCTAGACCCAGCCCCGCTGGTGTGGAAATTGCACGTGGTGCTGTGGCCGGGGCTTAGTTGCAGAGCCCCACAGCGGCAGCGACTCTCTGGGCATTGCTAGGTTACGGACGTGTGCACAGGAGGCACTGGGAGCGGGAATACACACTCCACCCGACCCTGTCTCCCCACATCCCAAGACCTGGGCTTATCTCAAGAGATGCTGGACATACGCTTTACCAAGCGACCCAGGGGGTAAAAGCGGAGCAATCCTAGAATTTTCCTGACGCTATTAGGGGACCTTCTTCTTGGTCAACCAGGACGGGGAGGAGGGGAATGAGAGAAGAGGCTGGAAAAGGGTCTCAAGCTGAAGACTAACACCCACCCCCTCTTCCATCGCTCGGGGGCAATGAAAGAGGAAAGTTGAGCCCGAGGACACTGAACCTGAATCACCTCACTCGCGCCCCTTGGCTGCACAGTACTCCACACACCCAATGGCCGCCCCCACCCCAGCCCAACAAATGCAGAATTAACTCTGACATTCAGGCCCTGAAGGGGGAGAGCGGAGTAGCTGCCGCGCATCTCCCCTTTCAATGTAGATGACACCAAGTCAGTAGCATTATCTCCAACCCCCTCAACCCACCCAGCGCATGGGAGTTGGGGGGGGGGGTGCGTTGGGAAGAGGAGGATCATGATAGGATGAGGTTTGGCAGCGGGTACCCGGGCTCTGCCTGCTCACCGTTCGCGTGGTCCTCTTGCTGCTGCCGTTGATGCTGCATTTTTTTCATCATCATCATCATCATCATCCACGAACATTTATTGAGCGCCTACTGTGTGCAGGGCACTATGCTCAGCATTAGGGAGGGGGAGGAACGGGTAAGGGGGGTTACGGATAGGTAGAAGCCGCGGTCCCTGCCCTTATTTTCGCTTCAGCAGGGGGTGGGGAAGGACAGGGACAAATAACCAAAAATAAGGATAATTTATAAAAACCGCCTGCCACCCACGCTCCTTCTTTTTTCAAAAATGGAGCAAAATAAACTTTTTGTAAAAAATAAAATCAGATGTATATATTATCTTAATAATATATACATGTAATTTTTTGCTGCAAAGGAGAATTGGCTTGATCCCCTCCTCTAGCGGAGGGACGCCGCGGTGGTGCCCGCCCGGCCGCCCGGGCCGCTCGGCGCGCCCCCCATGCCGCCCGTCCGCCCGCCGCGGTGCCCGGTGCCCCGCCACCGCCCGCGCCGCCGCTGGCTCGGGACCGCGGGCAGCCGGAGCTCACATCCGGGGACGGAGGCGCTCGCCCGCCCGCTCCGCGCCCGCCGCGCCGCGCCGCGCCGCACGCCGGCTTCGCCCTGGCGACGCTGCGCGCCCGCCGCCGTCCCCCGCCCTCCCCCGCGCGCCCGGGCCTCCCACCGGCCGCGCCGCGCCCCAGCTGCCGGCCTGCGGCCCACGCGCCCCCCGGGCTCCACGGCGCGCGACTCGGACGACGCCACCCCCCGGCCTGGCGCGGCTGGCCGAGGGTTAAGCGCGCTGCAGCCGCCAGCTTTCGGGTTAACCCCCTCGGCGCCGCCACGCGGGCGCCCCTTCCCCGAGCCAGGCCCGTGGGGCCTCGCGCCTGCTGCTGGGGGCGCGGATGCCGATCCTCTGCACGGCGTCCCTGCGCGGGGTCTGCGGGGACTCCTGGCGTCCTCTAGGCGACTTCAGGTGGTCCTGGCTCACCGCACACCTGGGGGAGGCTCCGCCCCCCGGGAACTCAGGTGCCCACAGGCGATCTCTGCTGCCACATCAAAGCTCACAGTTTGCTGGCCCTGCCTGGACCAGACAGGCGTCCCCCAGCCCTGCTTCCTTCCGTTTGGGGATGCAGAGGAATGGGGGAGTCCTGCTCTTTAGGGAGCACTAACTGTCCTCATCCCTTGATCCTCTGCACCCTCCCTAGCCCTTTGCAAACGTGGCGGTGGTCTCCCTCCCTCTCATCACCACCTCCACGTGTGTTTGTGGCAGGTACAGCCAAGGTCTTTGAAATTGCTAGTGCTGAGAGGTATAGGGTGCAGCTCAAATACATGACTGGTTTGGGAATGGATACTTTATTTTGTACCTTCTCGGCCTCCTGTTTGAATGGGGGAGGTCTACAGGCCCCAGCTTCTGTCTACAGGGGGGAAATACTGTATCTAGTGGATGACTGATATTTTTCATTTAGCTTTGTGCTGGCTGTTGGGAAAAGGCGTCAGCTTTGTTACTTTGCAGGATTCGATTTATTTGCCTTTGTTCGGATCTGCTTGTTCCTACTGAGTTTTAGAACGTTTGAGAATGGTGGCTTTAAAGCAAAAGGCTCAGCGTGAATTAAGAAAATAAATGTTTATGGGAAGGTGTTCCTTGTTCAAAGACTACGCACTGAGCATCTTTGATTGTTGCAGGGGATACACCTGGGAAGAATGAAACTCCAGGGTTGTTCCTGAGCAGGGGTCTAGTCAGGAAAGATGAAAACAACCATGCTTGTCTGCTGTTTTTACTTTGCTTTTTGGAGAGCAGCAAGGTTGGGAAATAGTCCGTGGACTACATGTAATAGAAAGCTGGCCTGAGCCACCTCACCTGTGACTGGTTCTTAGCTAAAATCTAAAAGGATGCAAGATGGTTCCCCTCAAAGAACTTACTCTTTGAAAGGACGGATTTGTAAGGAAGCACATGTCACTATCAGAATTCCAGCTTTAAAGTTTAGCCTCTGTAGACTTACACCAAAATGCCATCCTAAAATCTCCTTCTATGGCCCAGTTCAGCCAGCAGTCACTGGATATCTGGTAAGAGCACTTGTCTAGGATAGGTGTTACCGGGTGAATCTGTGGCGGAGCCCCTTCCTCAAGGACAAGCCACCTAGTGAAGGGAGCTGAAACCTGAGGGAGCAGTGCAGGGCTCTGGGGAGTCCTTGTAATTGACTCTGAGAAGTTTGCCCAGTTCTCCTTAACAGCATAGGGAAGAGGCGGCCTACAGCAATGAAGCTATTTTGTATGTCACCAAAATGATGGCCAGGGAGCATTATGCAATTGTCAGAACCCATAGTCCTGTGCACCCCAAACCTGAGCCATAAAACTGAGAATGTTAGTTAATAATAACCCATTGGTACTGGCTCAACAGTGGTAGCAAGTGTACCACATCAATACAAGATGTAATAAGAGAAACGGTTGGAAACCGAGACATGAAAATTCTACTTACTGTGTAAATTCCCTGTAAACCTAAAAATTTGTTTAAGTCCATTGAAAATAGCACTAATTTTATAAGCAGTGTGAGCTGTGGAAAGAATGAAAGCACAAAAGAAACTAATATTTGGAGTGGATCTGTTTGAAGGTAAACAGGTGCACAAGGTTGGCGTGGACTCGGGAGGAAGGATTCTCAAACCCAGTGGAAGAAAGCTGTTTGCTGGTTGGCTAAAACACTTCCAGGGCACTTCTGCAGAGGGAGCCAGTGGAGGTGTTTTACCCAAGAATTGGCAGGATTAAACTCGGGACTTAGGTTCTACACTCAAGATATGGATGAGCTTATGGAATTGGAGTTTTTCATATGTTATTACATGTATTTGTGTGTAGAAGTCACAGGACAACTCTCAGGAGTCAGCTATGTCCTTCCACCATGTGGGGTAGAGGCGGCAGGGTTGAAGACAGGAACCCAGTTTGGGGTTAAATGCTTTTACCCACCGAGCCTCTGCAATTGAAGCTTTGGAACTTTCCATCTTTGTGATGTCATGATCAAGTTTTGAGGATTTGAGTTTTGTTTGTTTTTACTTTTTTATTTTTTGAGGCAGAAATTGGCCTCAACAAGAACCCAATTGTGGTTTGTTGTTTTCCCATTCTGCTTGAGATATTTACATATATTCCCATGATAAAGTAAATTATATTAACTCATTTAATTAAGCCTATGACGAAAATACTATAAATACTCATATTTTGTAGATGACAAAAGTGACATCTAGGAGTTGAGCAAGTTGCCCCAAACCACACAACTGCCTAGTGCTAAGGTAATAAGTCATGAGGAAAGGCCAGAATGAAAGATATCTACTCTGGTGGATTCTGGGGGAGGGACAGTCATTGCCTTCAGCTGTGTGTGAAATGGTGGGTCCACCAAGCTTTCCTGGATAGCGCCAGACTCAGCCTCACAGATGTTTCTGGCTAAAATCAGAAGCAAATGACTAAAAAGACCTGAATGTGACAAAAGGGACCTATAGAGAGGAGACCAGGATCACAGGAAGAGGAGGGAGGTAGCAGAGGGTGGGACTAAGAATAAACAGAATGCAAATATTCACATGAAATTGTCAAAGAGTGAATTTAATCAGTTTTGTAATGCAAAAAAACAAAACAAAAACAAACAGGTTAGCTCTACATCAAGCACATATGCTCGACTGTGCACACTAGCCCTCTGATTCAGGGTATCCTTCTCCATGCCTTTAAAACAGAAAACATTCCACTTAAAGGTACAGAGCTGTCCACTGGACATGTGGCTGTCTATATGCATCTCAAAGCTCTCTCTCGATCACCTCACCCCATCACAAACTAGAGACCCCATTGACTCTGTTCTACCTCTCACAAATTACACATCTTGTGTGCAGAAACCTCGTATAACTTCCCTACCCATGAGATGCCTGTCCTCTCCCTCCTCGTGCAGTCTTTAAACTCCTGTGCCCAGCTTTCAGCCTATCCTTTCCCAGGGCTCACCTTCACTGTGGTCAGCAGTCTCCTCATTAGGCTGTGAACATGCTGTGCTCATTTCTGACTGCCTTGGCTCAAATTTATTCACTGACCTGAAATCCCTGCCTTGCTGACCTCTAACTAAACCCTCCCAGTTTAACAAGCCTCTGCAGAGTCCCTACTTCCTACCCAGAGCCTCCAGTGATGGCCCCAGCCACCTACCTAGTGGGTGAGCCCCCACCTTCCACCCCTTCCCTAAAAGCCTATAGCACCAGTTGTTTCTTTAGTGGAGTGGCTTTTGTGTCTTATACGATTCCTTTGGGGCTGGAAGTCCTGAGTCTCCAAACACAATTCAGGTCCTGAAGCAAGGATCCGCTCTGAGCCCCCTCCTCCAACTACTAGAGTTGTACTCACAGCAGGCACTAAATAGTCTGATTAATTTTCATAGGATCATAAAAGCTCATAGATGTCTTTAGAAATTGTCAGCTAATATTGACCAAAACCCCATAAAGTTTATCTCAGCACACTCAGGGCCCTTTGATGGTAAAAATATAAAATAGAAAACCGGGTCCTTCGCACACCAGGAAACCTAATTAAGAGAGACAAGCAAATAGGCCCTGAAGACTAGGTGCAGAATATATCTGTGAACACACTGGGAAGTTGGGTCTGATTGTATCTCTCCACCCACAGACCCTGGTACAGAGAGAAGAGTCCTGACCTATTAACCACCAGAGGAGGAAATTAAGTGGTCTGGGGCTGTGTGTCCTGAAGACATAGCCAAAGTTGCAAACATCAGTAAGCCACCAGCTGGCTGGGATCTAGCAGAACTTAGGAAAGAAGTGTAGTAAGATGCAAAATCAGGGCCAGGTGGAGTAGATAATTCTAGATTTCTAGTCATAAGCTGGTGATGCCTACAGACACCCTGGTAGAGTGTTCAAATTATGATAGTCCCCTTGGAACTTTCATTATATAGATTTTATTTATTAATATCTGCCATATTCAAAATTAAAAATGAGAACATTAAAAATCACATACTGGGTATATTTTTCCAATGAAAAGTTATTTTTCCAGAGCAAAATGATGACAAGAATAGCCATGTTTTACTTCTTGCAAATGTCCTTACTGACTGTCTCAATGAAGGCGGATTTTTGTATCTGTTACTGCAGTCAGTCTACAGCAATAGCTGTATAGATTGAAGTGTATGATGAAAACCCTGCCTTCTGTCAGATGGTGGTGGCGCTTGGGAAGCCGAGGCAGGCTGATCTCTGTGAGTTTGAAACCACCCTAGTCTAGTTTGAGGACAGGCTCCAAAGCCACAGAGAAACCCTGTCTCAAAAATCCAAAAGAAGAAGGAGGGAGAGAAGGAGGGAGAGGAGGAGAAAGGAAGGAAGGAAGGAAAAAAGGAAGGAAATCCAGCCTGTCATGGATGCATTGGGGAAAGACTGGACCACTTGAGTAGCCCTTGCAGATAACCCATGGGTATTACTATTTTCTATGATACCAACTATACTTTTAAAGGTTATGTAAAATATGGAATTTGAAACCCTATTTTACTCTGCTATATTAAAATTCATGTCTATATTGCAGTTTGGATGGCTTTCTTACCCACTGGTGGTTTGGTAATGTCATGCATTGGTCATTAGGTTCACCAAGACACACATTTCAAATGTCTCCCATTTTATCATACAATATAAAAAAAACAAAAATCAAAATACACACACAAAAATCACTTGTTTTTAACACTACCAATCGAATCAGAAACTCTTTAATATTGGAAAGCTGTCAAACTCTTGATGGTAGAGAGAGGTTTTTCACATTTATAATTTTCACTTGAAAGCTCAAGTTTTATAATTGGCGCAAATACTGTCAAGTTTTTCCTTTGAAGTAACTAGCTCACTTCATTTTCAAGAAAATATCTGGCAAATACTTGGGTCTGAGAAGCCAAAGTTTGTCAGTAAAACTGATATTCCATGGAAAAGGAACCCATCCCAAATGTGACCCTGTCACTGTGCAGCAGAAATGTGCCCTGCATTTGTCCCACTTTGTCACCCAGAATGTTAATAAGGCAGGGATGTAATCATATTAGTAATTTTAACTGCTTCATCAAGGATATTTGCGTGCATGTATGAGCATGAGTAGACACAATGTACATGTATGTAGAGAACAGAAGTCAACCTTGAGTTTGATCCTGAGAAGACAGTTTTTGACACAGACCCT